AACTGTAATTGATGAGCAAAACAATGAATGCAATGTGCCGAAGGAGTTTCTTGCAAAATTAAAACTTTAAGACCATTCATTTTTCCTTGCATATTACTAGCTCCATCATACCCTTGTCCGCGTATTTTGGATGGACTTAATGAGTGTTTCATAAGCAAAGAAAGTATTGCTTCCTTCAACGATTTTGCAGAGGTATCACCAACACGAACAAGACCAATAAATGGCTCGTTCACTTGGCCTTTTTTGTCAACATACGCAAAGCGAGAGCCATTTGTTCATGGTGTGAAATATCCTTGGACTCATCAACTAATATCCCGAAATAATCCCCATCTAAATCATTGATTATAACTTTTACGGTTTCTTGTGCACAAGCACTCACAATGTCCTTTTGAATTTTTGGCGAAGTCATCATATCATTTTTTGGAGCATGTTTCAATATGACTCTATCCACTTGAGGGAGCCTCTTTGCAAGCCATTCCAAAAGCCCTAGAAAAAGGCCTTTGTTTTTTGAAGAATCACTTTCATCGTGACCTCTAAATGACAATCCAAAGTACAAGAGGAACCTTGCAACATCGATTGATGCATTTAAACGAATTCGGTGCTCATTTCTTTGTTTCTCAGATTGCTTATCAAAAGCAACTTGAATTGATTGAGATTGATGTGATAAGTCTAACATCTTGTTGAAACACTTGTGGTGGAGGCTATTTACTTGACCAACATGTAAAGCAAGTCTTTCCGAAGCTTTATTCCAAGCCTTAAAGCCCGTTTTTGTGAAAGAGTCACCCGTGCTTCCATGAACATAATCATTTTTAAATAAATAACAACATAAACAAAATGCGGCGTCTTTCTTCACACTATACTCCAACCATCTAGAATACGAATCTTTAAACCAACCCGGACTAAATTGACGCATTTTATTCCCGAATAAAATCTTAGGAAACTTATGATCAACCGGTTGACAAGGTCCATTTTGAATGTAGTGTCTTCTTACTTCATCCCGTATTCTAGGATTATATTTATCAATGGGTACTCTCTCTCCAGGATCGGGATTGAGTAATTTCTCATCAAACTCCTCTATAAGATGAGAGGAATTGTTTCTAAGAGTAGAAATTGGTTGAGAAGAATTAAACTTCGTCAAAAATACGTCCATCTCAATTCATAAGAACAAGAACTTCCTACAAAAAACGAGTCCAATAAATTTAAGAGTCTATCAAGAATACAAACAAACACAATATAAATAGAGCAATACACCCCTTTTATCAAAAAATAAAACAAATACAACTTATTGAATATTAATACTACAACTCTATAAATGTACCACTTGATATCTTCACTAATATTTACTTGTAAATTCTAGCTATGTTGCATAATTTAATTATATTTTAATACTTAATATTTTCACTAACCTTTAAATGTAGTGTTGGTTTCTAGCACACTATAATTAAAATTGCGTCTCAAAATACTTAATTGACTTCTTTTTGTATATCAAGAATCAGAAACTTAAACATAAATTGAAAAACATGAAGACAGTCATTCTTAAATAACCATTCTTAAACAATTTGAAGCGTCTGAAAAATAGAAAGAGAAGCCATTCTTAAAGTTAAATAGCAAAAAATTAAGAGACCA